GCTGCCAGAATAGTGTTGATGACCAGATCGGACATGCCCTCCTTCCTTAAACGGTCCCGCTCAACCTCCAAACTGTCAGCTGAAGCCATTGTGGATTCGGATGCTGAAGAGGTCCCTGGGACAGCGAAATCTTGTCCGGTGGAATCCTCCAAGGAGGAGCCACTGACAGGTTGCGAAGGTCCGCAAACCAGGGCCTCCTGGGCCAATATGGGGCCACCAGAAGAAGTTCCACTTTCTCGAGGATTACCTTTTGGATCACCTTGGGCAGCAGCGGTGGGGGGGAAAGCGTATAGGAGCCCCGTGGGCCAAGGGCAATGCAGGGCATCGTGGTTCTCGGCCCCCTGGGTGGGGTACTGGGAAAAAAACCTCGGTGTCTGGGCATTGGATGGGGACGCAAACAGGTCCACTAGCGGAAACCCGAACCTCCCTGAGGCCTCCTGGAAAAGGGAGGGATGCAGGCGCCATTTGGACTGGTCGGCGACGGTTCTGCTCAACCAGTCTGCCTGAACATTGGAGGCCCCTGAGATGTGCTCCGCCTTTATGGATAGCAGATTGGCCTCCGCCCATCGACAGATCCGTTCGGCCTCTTTCATGAGCCTGATGGAGTGAGTGCCCCCCTGCCGGTTGATGTGGGCCTTGGTCGTAGTGTTGTCCGTCAAGACCAAGACGTGACGCCCTCAAACTTGAGGAAGAAAGGTGCGTAATGCCAGATATACTGCGTGGAGCTCTAACCAATTTATGCTGCAAGAGCGCTCGTTTACTGACCAGGTTCCTTGAGCTGACAGCAAACGAAGGTGGGCCCCCCAACCTATTAGGCTGGCGTCTGTTGTGAGGGTGACTCTCTGGGGTTCTTTGAACAGATGTCCTTTGTTGGTAGTGGGTCTGGTCCACCAGAGTAGCGAGGTGAGAACCTTTGGAGGGATCCTTACTACGAATCTTGAATTGCTCCTTCTTGAGCGTTGATAAGGTAGCAGGAACCATTGAAGGGACCTGGAATAAAATTGGGCCCAGGGAACAATGGATATACATGAGATCATTTTCCCAAGCAATTTAGATAGGTCCAGCAATGAAGCTTTCTTTGCCTGCCTGATGGCCTTAATCGAATTTTGAATGCTAGCAAACCTTTCCGGGGAGAGGAAAACCTTTCTCTCAACTGAATCAATCACCGCCCCTAAATGAACTATTCGAGTGGAAGGGGTAAGCTGGCTCTTTTCCCAACTTACAAGGAAACCATGATCCTGAAGTACTGAAAGAGTGGTTCTGGTGTCCCTCTCAGCTTGGCTTTGGGTTGGAGAAAGAATGAGAATGTCGTCAAGATAGCAGTAAATACGGACAAGGAGTTGTCTGAGGTGAGCTGCTAAGGCTGCCAAAACCTTGG